AGTAAATGATAGTTCAATCATGCTGCATACAGTGCTAGGTCATCTTCAAATGAAGAGTCTCAAACAACACTGGATTGTTTTCTTTCTATAGCCTGTAGGGTCCTCAGTGCTTCTATAAATCTATTACATGAATACTGTTGCGTGTTTCACATGTGTGTTCATATAAAGTTGCATGGTGATCTTCCGGTGAACGCTCCGGCTCATTTTCTAGGCCATCGATCCTTCATGGTCATTACGAAAGTTTGGTGCTTTGCATCTTGTCTTCCTTTTGATGATAAGAGGTTGCTCTGCTCATTCTTTTTCCTGCTGATGCAAACTCATTTCTATGTCCATACACTGGATGTGGTTTTCCAATTGAATGGGCAGCCTAAAGTCATTTTACATGTTTCATAAAATATCATTTGCATACTCAAAGCTGATGATTAGTCGTTTCTTAGCTATTCCTTTTTTTTTTTTTGGAAATCCAGGCAACAAGATATTGACTGGTAATGGACTTCTATTAGGAAAAAAAAGATTATCCGTGCATTTCCACTTCGTATAGAGAAGACACTAATGCTATGCTATTACACACAATTCGGAATTTCATAGTAGTTTTCCTGATGTATGTCACGGTTCACATTGGTGCTAATCGTGTGTGTAGAACTTCTTGAGCTGTTCATCTGCTACCCAAAGAACTAGGCCGCAAAGCAATTGGGCAACTTGTACATTGTTGAAACCCGTGTTTTCTTCCCTACAAAATCAGTTTCATGATTTACATGGATAATGCGTCTCCATTGTTTCTGTTCAGTAAGAACTGCATCTTTGCTCAGCCCTCAAATAGAACCTTGTCCTATTTACATGGATAATGATCTCTGTTAGTTTCACATGTCTAAATTCAATCCTAGGCTGATCCTATTGTGTGCCTTTAATTATATGTCGCCACCAATAAGAGGTGTTTCCAAAGCCTGTGCTTTTAGCGCCAGCTTCTCATATAAGATCGCACTCCCAAGGACAAGGTCTTGTATGTTTGTGGATTCCATTTCTTATACTTAATCTTCTTTTTGCTGCAGATCCTTCATGACATTTCGTCATTCTTCCAGACTATTTTCATGTTAAATTCCAGGTTCGACATACAAGTCTTGGTACATTCTGCTAATCTTGGTTAATGACATTATTCACAGTACTGCCTCTAAAGCATTCTGTGAAATTAAGTGGAGGTGTTGTTTTTATTCAATGACAATGTTGCTGCAAATAAATATCTTCTTCTCAACTATACCATAGGAGAAGATGCGGTCATGATTATCACTGTTTTATGATCGTTTTTCTGATCTCAAGTGACAATATATTGCTTCCTGCATTTCGGCTACAGTTGGCGTGCGCTCAGGGTGGCCACGTTACTATGAAAAGTTTTGGCCGCTTGTTTCCAGTCTCATGGTTCTGTTTCACCCTGGCGTTTTCCACTCTGCCATCTAAAAATATCATGTGCTTCTATGTCCTCTATCCACACCGCTGCTTCTCTACCCTCCAACTCTATTATTCGCTTCTTCTCTCTCCATCTCTCAAGACACGGCGCCGCCGTGCCGCAGGGGTAGGGGGGTGGCCGCTGCTGTTTTATGATGTTTCTATTCCACTTTTTTTTTTAAACTAAGGCGTTTGGCCTATGTAGTGATACGAACCATTACATATGCATGGTCCTGTGTTGCATTCTTAATGAACTGAAGCACTTTGCCATATGCAATGATGACCTACTTCTCCCTAACAACAATCCAATTTTGTTTCCCGCGCTTCACTGCTATCTGCAAAAATTGCTACGATTCAATATTAAGGTATTCTGATTCTTGCTCTTTCTTTAGTTGTTCTGATTCCTGCTCTTTCCTTAATCATTCTTCTCTTCTTTGCAGCTAGGTGCATAGCTTATATGCCTGTTACAAATTCTTTTTTTTTTTTGGTTTCATTGCAGACTGTAATTGAATCCTAAAAGGACAGGGACTGAGTATGCTATAATTTTTGAACTATGAGGTTAAACTACTGCAACCAGATAACTTCTTAGGTAAATATGGAATTTCCTCTTAGTAACTATTGGAAGACAGAGAATTTGTTCAGATTGGTTTCTAAGATTATCGTCTTATTTTGCTTATATATTACTTTAGTGGATCCTTTTCTGCCATGTCGCTGCATCGTGTTTGTTTACCTTGATAAATACAGTCCGCTATTTGTAGCATCATTGCCCCTGTATTTTGGCGCATCCATAAATTCTATGTTCATTGTATCCCTTTCCATGCACATTTGACAACTTCATGTGTTCGAATGGACAGTGGTTTTAACAATTGTTGTTTCACGACCTTTTTTCCTGCCTCCAGCACTATGGTTTAGTGACCCTCAGCTTTATTGACAAAGTGCTTGTACTGGCATGCTAGACTTTTCTATTATATTTAGCTTCTCAGTTATGATCACATATTTTTCCTTCAATTGAAAGAGTACCACCAAGCACCACATCGTCCATTGGATTTTTGGGGATTTTTAGATTCCTCCTATGATGCTTGCTCCTCCCATGCCTTTTGGGACCACGTACATACTACTATATCCATGTGATCAATTTTGATTTCATTCAGCTTCTCTATACTGCCTAATTCCATGCTCCGATCTTGAAAAAAAAATATAGACACGTTTAGATCTGCGATTGCATTTCCAACCGACTGTCGACGCGCGTGAGGGTGCGCGTGATGGACTAGTGCCAGCAGTAGATTAGTATGAAAAACATTCTACGACTCGAGAAGCCCAGAAACAAAAGAACCCTATGACCAGATTATTACCTTCCAGCAACTAGGTCGTCAGTATGAGCTTATAAGAAAGCTATCAAATTTACATGAGCATTTAAACTAAACCAACCTATTATTAGTCCATTGACTACATACAGATTCTGCATTCAACTGTCAATTATGAAACAGTGACTGTTATTTCTATTCTCTAATAAATGCACACCAGATAGAGCGTTACTCAATTTCCAACAAGTTAAGTGATCAGCAACTTATTCAGTAACTCGTATACATACACTCCTACAATCATATCATAGCCATCACAAATTCTGAATTATTGTACCATTTTAATATTTCTGGCAAGCTATCTTACCAAATTAATAACATTCACTCACTATGTTATGTGAGACATTGTGATAATGTGATGCCAATCTGTGTCATTTAACACTTGACTTGGACTGTAATTCACCAGAATATTATAAGGTACATCTGGATTGAAATACCCTTGTCCTTTAATGAAGAAAGCTATTCAACCACAATGCTTGAGAAATGATTTCCGTAAACAATTGTGAATCATAGCAGTAGCAACCATATTATACAAGGCATATTTATGTTAAATGGTATGTTTTAAGCTGAAGAAAATAAAATCAAATGATTACACAAGGTATATTTTTCATTTGAGTGAACACAAGTAACTTTCCACTGCAACTCCTAATTTGTTGAAGAGGTTACACACAAATAAAAGCAATAACATAAAGGCTGTCTTGTTCGAACCAAGGCTATCCAAAATTAGAGTTCTAATAGAACATCACAAATCAGCCAACCCCACGATATTCCATGACTTGGCTGCTAGTATTAGGGAACAAGAAATCAATCAGCATAACAAGATGCAGCGAACCAAAAAGCATCATTACTAGTTCAATTAACTACAAGTTATTGCATTCAGCTGATAGTTACTTGACTGTGTACAATTGCTGCTAATAATTAACGATGAGTATTTACTAACCGATCCGCACTTCTACGGTGACGTCAAGTCTACAAACCATGAATCCACTACTGCCATGACAAATCAGTTGTGATCCACCATCAGAACCAAGGGATGTATACAAATCACATGATTCTCACAAGCAAAAGAAGCAAATGGTAGAAGTCAATTATAACAGTTTGTTCTTTGTTTTCAGAATTGTAACAGGTAACATCAACAAGAGGAATAAGACTCTGGAGACTACCACTAATAACAGATGATCATCTACAGATGAATGCCCATCATTGCTAGAGTGCTAGTAGCTGTAGACGTCTTGCATGACATGGCTACGCCTTCATACAGATGCTCCCAACCATGCGGCTCTGTCACCTCAAAGTCAAGATAGCAGACCAACCAAAGAACACAGTGTTAGAATAATCAAGAGGGATTTGGGCAAAGTTAGTTGTTAGCCGTGCTAGGCCAACATGACGTCACGATATGGTAGTGCATGTGAAACAAGCTATCCATTATGTATGGCAATGCAAATTTGAAAACTATCAAAAGGGATGTATACAACTGATTTTAGCTCTGCATTTTTCCCAAGAAAAACAGAGAAAATTTGACTGCGCTAGTATTCATGCACTAGACAAATTTGCCAGTCATAGACCCATAGTATTTAGGCACCAGCTATAGTATACAGAGTACACCCAAAAAAAACAAGATGAGTAAATGACTAATGACATAAACAAATTGTAATGGACTGATAATAAGTCAGATTTTACAAAACATTCAATGTCCATATATGTTATTAATATCAAATTCAATACTAAACTTGTATAGAAAGTAGATCAAATAAAAGCATATATCGATGGACATAGAGCAATATATAATTAAGCCTTTTCCTGGATTCACTATTGATATGAGAGGGTAGGGTCAAATATTTTCCTTCTCAAAAAGATTGATAGACATGGGATACACAATTTTCATGTCAGGATACACGAATGTCCTAAAGTGGCAACTTTTTTTAGAGCAAGACATATGTATACGAAGATATAGATTGTAACAACTAGTTTGTCGCAAAACGCTACAGAATTTTCCTAGCTACATTATGTACGTTGGTTAGCTTCCAAAGCAACATATCATGATAGAAAAAATCATTCCAAAAGGCCAAAGGACCACATGGTCTACAAGGGCTCCATGGTGACAATGGTGGATGCGAGAAAATTTGGACATGCCAGCAGCAAGTGCACACAATTTAGTTCCCTACAGCTGAAGAAACATGGAAGACAATTCTTACCATTTCATATGCTTGGCAGTGCCAACGGTGGTGGAAATCTTGCATAAGGAAAACCAAAGAACGCGCCATTTTTCGAGGTGCAGAGATTCTCAACAAGCAATGTCTTGATGTCCAGTACAAAATGTTCAATTTTTCGCGACGACTCAGCTACTAGAGCTAAGTAATGTCCTGCTGTGCCCTCAGTCTCCCAATGATAGGTGATCCCAAAGTCCTTGGGCAATGGAATTAGCTTGTCATGCAGCCACTCTTGTGCGCCAACACAGTTGCTTTGCCAATTCTTGCAATACAGGTCAATTGTGCCATCGCCAATAGTTAAGAACCCGAGTCTGCCATCCGCTGCCTCGACAATGGCACGCATATTTTCTGAATCAAAATTGTGGGGCGGGAGGTCAATGATGGAGAATCTCATCTCACTTGTATCGAGCATTAGCGAATAGCCCATCAAACCAACCATCCAGTAGAGGCAGCCGTACGCATGGTCGGTCATGTATTCAATATCTCCATCAGGCAAACAGATCGTGGTAATAATACCTCGCCACGTCTGGTTGCAGGAAGAGAAGACGAAAGCCATGACCTTGTCTTTGAAAAGCACAGTGCAGATAACTCTGAACGATTCCTCCCCGTCATTCTCGCCAGCTGGAGCCAGAACGGGTAACACATGCCGCGCGTCTGGGGTGGAGGCCGCCATTAGGTCGTCGGGTATGCGGGGAATCATGACGTACCGGCGATGCAGGGGGTCGCAGACTACGAAATCCTCGAATCGGATGTTGATGGAGATGTGACGGGGGAGGAGGACCCGGCCATCGCGGGCGTGGAGAAAGCGCCACGAGATGGGGTCGGGGACGAAGGAGAAGGTGAAGTCGGCGGCTTGCTCGAGCGCGCGGGCTTCCGGGGCGGAGCGGTGGGGCGGCCCGACGGGGAAGAATCGTCGGTATATGCTAGAAGTGATGAACCCGAGGACTGCTGGGGAGCGGAGGGACCGGAAGCGGCGGAGGAACCGGGGCTCGGAGACGATGCGGCGGAGGCGCGGGCGAGGTCGGCCGCGGCGTCGAGGCGCAGGAAGATCTCCTCCCAGATCTCGTCCGGGAGGACGGGCTGCGCCGCCGCGCTCGCGCCGACGTCGACGCCGCCGCGCGGTCGGCCGGCTGTGGGAGAGAACGGCGGGCTCTGGCGGTCCGGCGTCGCGCCGACGTCGATGCCATCGCGCTGTCGGCCAGACATGGAGGAGGACGGAGGGCTCTGGCGGACCGCCGTGGCGCTGACGTCGATGCCATCGCGCCGTCGGCCGGCTGTGGGAGAGGACGGCGGGCTCTAGCGCTCCGGCGTGCCGCCGACGCCGTCGCGGGGCGGGGTCGGCCGACTGTGGGAGAGGAGCAGAAACGCCCGAGACGGCAATTTGGGATTTTAGGGATTCGGGGGTTTGGGGATAGTAGTGGTGTGCGCGAAGCCGCGGACGGCGGACACTCGTTGGCTACTTGCCAGTTCCCACACTATCAGTGATGGGGAAAGCCACCTTTTTTATAAAAAAAAAAAAAGAAAAGAAAAGAAAGAAGACATGCTGTGCTTGGTGACTGAGCATGAAATTTGGACGGTGAGCCTGTGATTAATGGTGGTAACACACGTCTGTATGTCTACCAGCAATACTAGCTCTGTTCTCAAAATAAATAAATTTCTATCTATATATCTCTTTTGGAAAAAGTCTATATAACCCTCAACTATTCAGGACGAACTACTTCACCTCCCAAACTATAAAATCATATAAGCTAGCAAGTTGGCTTGTTAAAGGTATCCTTACAATTACATTTTTCCTATTTCTATGTTTTGTAAATCTTTTCCAAAGAGGACCATACACTTGCCGACAAATCTCACTCCTCCACGTAAGAAAGATCAACAGATACCACCACCGTGGCTGAATTATTTCGATTTTGAATAACTCGTTTGAGAGCAGCATGCAACACATAGGATTTCTTTTTTAACTACAAAGTTCTTTGAGATTTTTTTAACTACAATTTATTCTCCTTTGAAGCCAATAGCGCAATCGTACAATTTAGTATAGAGATCTCATAACATGACGTGCACCAATACCACCATCGCGATAAGATTCACTACAAGAAGGCGGAGAAAGGTGTTGTCTTGGCTCCCCTTCACAGCTCTAGCTTGCTGGCAAGGTACCAGGAGTGCATGGCCAAGCTGCCAAACGACATGATGTTGGCCAGTGATGACAGCCCGTGGATCATCCCAAACTTCTTGTTCATTGCAGCAAGGGTGGGGTTGGATTTAGCCACCTGCTGATTCTTTGACCATCCGACTTCCTCGCCGATGCTCAGGTCCCGCTCAATCTTGTGCCTCTTCTTCATCATCTGCAAGCAGTGATCAACCATGTCAAAGGAAATTGCATGAAAGAAGATGTAGAAGAAGAGAGGGCATATTCTAGTTGGTCTCAAATTATTTTCTAACTTTCCATTTGAACTTTGGTTGACAATAGAAAATAAAACACAACTGCTGTGCAATTGTCATATTGTATACAATCATTGTATTGGGAAAATTAAAGCTAACTGTTGTATGATCCCATCGTACAAAATGTTGGACTGGCCATGCCAGCAACATCCTGATTATGTGCCAAATATTTTTTTACCTAAAGCCTTTCCACAGATATAAAGAATATTTGGGTAAACTTTTCCCCTAAAGACATTACATGATGAAAGTGAACATGTTTGGCCATAGTTCACAGAAATATAAAAAAAGGAATTTTTCCTGGTAGAAGGCACCCTGTGCTCCAAACTGTACATGGGCTACACTGGGTTCACAGAACATCCCAATCACTTGCAAGCTCCATAAAATAACATAATTTGATCCAATAGCATACTATACCAACTAGCATTCACACTAGGTTGAGTAAGACACCGATAAAATAACATAAAATTTGATCCAATAGCATTATCCTATATCAACTAGCATTCACACTGGGACGAGTAAGACCGTACTGTCAATCTATCATCTAAAGCTTACCTTCAATTCTAGTTCGAATAGCAAGATGTTCAAGAAAAAAAATAATAGTTTTTTTCATTGCAGTATTACAGAGTTTCGACCATGTATATTTATTTATTTTTGATATACTGACACCATAATTCTGGTTTTCAAATTTAAATAGTTGTGACAAAACCCAATGCACTCGCGCTACCACAAGTTGATCATATATAACATATATTGCATCAGAAAAAGCTAATTGTTGTTGGACGAAAAGGATAAATCATATGCTCCCTCACTAGCAATGTTGTATTGGCCACAGCTAAGCCTTTTTCCAAGGCATATTGACATACCCTCAATGAGGAATGTCACATGAACATGTTTAGGCAAGCCTCAGTAGCAAAAAGAACATAATATGAAACAAGTTTTCCTAGTACGAGCGTACAGGGCACCCTGTGCCTTCCAACTAGTCATGGGCCACACAGGGTTCACACAACACCACAATCACTTGCAAGCATGGGCGGATTTGGGCCTAGGGCCATGGCCCTAGGCGTGGCCCAAGGAACTCCTTATACCGCTCTTATTTTTTCTGGCCCAATCCGTTCCAGAAAGGAGAGGCCCTAGTCTGTTGGCCCAGCGACAGTAAACGCGCTCGCAATCATTCGTCACAGGCTCGCAGCGCTCGCCTGGCCCAGTTTCTGCCCTCTCATAGTCTCGTCGCACCCCCTTGCCTGTTACCCCTTGCTCTGCGGCTCGGCCATTCGCCTAAGTCCAAACCCTAGCCGCACGGCTTGCAGCTCCAGCGAAGCGGCGTGCAGCCCTCCTGGAATTCAGAGTGGCGTATCCTTGGATTGGAGGTGAGCTGGTGCAATGCTTGGATTTTAGGCAAACAGATGGCGACTAAATTTCTCCAATCCCTGTGTCGTGCGCCGTGCAATTGGGTGTCCTGGTGGCCGGCAATCGGTGTTGACTCGTTCGTGTGGCTGGATGGGAGAAGCAAGCAAGCATGTTAGTGTTTAGGCCTGGTACTCCATGCTCCTAATTTTCCCAATCTCCTTTTTAAAGCATGACCCATTCTAGTTTTCTTGATTACTCGTTAGTAGACGGTGATTGCTCCATTGATCATTGGAAGATAATCCTTTTTTTTAAATGTTCCTATTGTTATTCATTGATCTACGCCTGTTTAAGGTGGTACTAAAATGCGGTATCTGAATAAATTCATCTTTCTATATGCTAGAACAGGATATTTTTGCAATTTGCTCAAGTTATTTGATGCGGCAAAATAGGCTTGCCTGAATGCGACTTTGCAAATAAAATAGGCTTGCCGGAATAAGTTATTATTTTATTTGTTGCCTGTGTGAATTATCAATAGGGCCTATTATGAATTGCTTAGGCGCTTAGTGGCCCTAGGCGTTGATTTTCACCAGTTCTGCCACTGCTTGCATGATACTTAAAATACAACATTTTATCCAAAACAATGATAGGTGCAGTAACTCCGCTGTGTAACGCTAATGCTAATGCTAATGCCAACTAATACTCACTTGGGTCTTGTGAGACATTGTGCTGTCAAACTCGGTCATATAGAGCTTAGCTTGAATTCTAATCATGAATTATTAAATGAAAAACATTTGGTTATCACCAACTCAACCTTAACATATATTCTTTTATGAGTGGTGAAAAACCTAATGCAGATTGCAGAACCATCTGTACAACTACAAGTCAATGGTATAGAACCACCATCAAAGTATTCAACAATACCAGAGCAATCATTATAGACAACAGGAATGTATCATAACAACAAGCATCATATCATAAAATCATATTTGCATGAAAGGAAATGGACTGTGGCGCACCAATCAAAACCATATAATTGCATTCAGAAAATGGTTTCACAATAACTCCAGTTTTTTTTTAAGCTACACAAACAAAGCAAAAACAATAAATTGATACCTGATTTGCTCACTGAGCATTGAGTAATACGTACAAGTGCAAACCAAACCATGACTGGCAATGTCAGCTTTATAGTAGATTAGCATGAACCATTTTCAAGATCCGAGAAGCCCATAAACAAAAAGAACGCTATGACCACATTTATCACCTTCCAGCAACTAGGTCACTAGTATGAACTTATAAGAAAGCTATCAAATTTGCATGAGCAGTTAAACTAAACCAACACCAACCTATTATTAGTCCATTGACTAGATACAGATTTTGCATTCAACTGTCAATGATGAAACAGTGACTGTTATTTCTATTCTCTAATAAATTGCACACCAGATAAAGCATTACTCAATTTCCTAGAAGTTAAGATAAGGAGTGATCAGTGACTTATTCAGAAACTCGTATACGTTCCTGCAATCATATCATAGCCATCACAAATTCTGAATTCTTGTAGCATTTGTTCTATTTCTGGCAAGCTATCTTATACCAAATTAATAACATTCACTCACTGCATTGTGTGAGACATTGTGATAATGTGATGCCAATCTCTGCCATTTAACATTTAACTTGGACTGTAGCATCAATTATGAAGTATATTTATTGATAAGAGGAATAATTATAATGGTATTTTCACCATAAAGTACATCTGGATTGAAATACCCTTGGCTTTTAATGATGAAAGCTATTAAACCACAATGCTTGAGAAACCATTTTCGTAAACAATTGTGAATCATAGCAATAGCAACCATATTATACAAGGCATATTTATGTTGAAGCTATATGTTTTAAGCTGCAGATAATAATAACATCAAATGATTTCACAAGGTACATTTGTCCTTTGAGTGAAAAAATAGCTTTCCACAGCGACTCCTATTTTGTTGAAGAGATTACACAGAAGTAAAAGCAATAACATAAATGCTGCCCTGTTCGAACCAAGAATATCCAAAATTAGCTTTCCACAAAATCAGCCAACAGCTCGATATTCCATGACTTGGCTGCTAGTATTAGGGAACACAACTAGATGCAACGAACTAAAAAGCATCATTATTAGTTAAATTAACTACAAATTATTGCATTCACCTGACAGTTATAGCACAAGCACTAATCACTTTTAATCTCTAAAGCATTACTCGATTTCATACAATTGCATCTAATAATTACTGATGAGCATTAACTAACCGATCCACACTTCTATGGTCATACCAAGTCTACAAACCATGAATCCACAACTGCCATGACAAATCCTAGGTTCTCATAAAATTCGTTCCTCAATGGAAAGAGACCAAAGCGTAAGAAGAGGAATTCAGCTCACC